AACTCGACACGTCTCTGTGTGTATCTCTCTGCACGTCGTCTCTGTGTGTAACTGTCGACACGTCTCTGTATGTATCTCTCTGCACGTCGTCTCTGTGTGTAACTCTTGACACGTCTCTGTGTGTATCTCTCTGCACGTCGTCTCTGTGTGTAACTCGACACGTCTCTGTGTGTATCTCTCTGCACGTCTCTGTGTGTAACTCGACACGTCTCTGTGTGTATCTCTCTGCACGTCGTCTCTGTGTGTAACTCTCGACACGTCTCTGTGTGTAACTCTCGACACGTCTCTGTGTGTAACTCGACACGTCTCTGTGTGTAATGACACACGAGCAACCGTGGCTCGAGTTTGAGCCCCGATTCGTAGCCTCTCCCGCGCGCTGAGCCGCCCCTTCAGGTGAGTTGATTCCGTTCCATCACCATCGTGCGGGGCCTGTAGCATCAGCTATAAAGGGGCCCATAAATAAATAAGTAAACCACTTAAATTTTAAAAGACAAATGTTTAACTCGCACAGTAAAGTAATTGTAAAAAAAATTCACTTGCTGTACAGCCAGATAATACGACGAATCGCTGACCTTAAACACCCGCTCGTTCGTGAAAGTCGAAGGCGGTATAGTACTATAGTGATAGAGCAAGTGCAGAATCACCGAACCGGAGTTGATAGCTTGAAAGCGTTTAGCGCGGGGCCCTTGAAAATGCGGGTCCCGTAGCTACTTCATTTGTAGACACTTTTGCTACGAGGATCATAAGACACTGATCATCATCGTCGTCGTGGTGGTGGTTGGTGGTGGTGGCGTTGGTAAGCGACCTGCCAGCGGGCGTTCGACACTTCACGTGGCCTCAACGTGCACCTAGCCTGGCACGAGCGCCGCGGTGACATCACCGCCACCTAGTGGCGAAAGGCGGCGGCGGTTGTTGTTGTTGATGATAGGCGGGCACTCGCTGACAGCACTTGTCCCCGAAGAGTCCGTTAAGGCTGTACGGGGGATCTTTGTCTTTGGTGTTGATGGGTGATGGTGGAGCGGTGGGCGCAGTGGTTCGCGCTACGAACCCGACGATCCCCGACTCCGCTGGGAAGACAAAGGCGGCCGGGCGTGGTTTTGACCTTGTGCCGTGCCGGTCTTAATAGGTGCTCGCTAACAGCGCTTGCCCTATAATGATGGTGGTCATGTTGATGATGATGGAGGAGGAGGAGTGGATGGCGATGATTGGTGGTGGTGGTCATAGTGATTGTAATGATGGTGTTTATTATTCTGATGGGGATGATGGGGTCAGTGATAGTGGTGGTGTTTGTGATGATGATGATGATGATGAAATGGAGGAGGCTCGTCAAGGACGCTGCTGCTGCTGCTACTGGGCAGTTGCAGGCAGACGCCCTCCCTCAACAACGGAGGGAGAGCGACGCTCACAACAACGAGCGGAGCGCCGGGCGGATAAAACGCACACAGACTTGGAACAGTGGGGGGGAGGGGAGCGGTGGATCTGCCAGTCATCTCAGTCGGTAAACCCACGGCACCTTTTGGGTCCGTCCGTTGCGTGACCCCCTGCCAGCGAGCCTTCCGACACTTCACGTGGCCTCAAAAGTGCACCTAGCCTGGCACAAGCGCCCGTGGTGACGAAGGCTACTGTCGTTATTATGGACCAGCGGTAGCGCGTTCGATAGCTTGCTCCAGGGACGTCACGGTTCGAATCCAGCGGCCGCCGCCCCGGTAAATGCTGCACGCGTAACAACCGTAAATAATATCCTTTTGGGGGCAAGTGCCGTTTGCGAGCGGCGCATGTGAAGGCCGGAACGGCACGCGAGGCGGTGGGTGGACAAGCACCACGCCCGGCCGCCTTTGTCTCCCCGGCGGAGATGCTCACGCCGCCGCACCGGGTGCTCGTGTTTGAGGTGCCGGTTCAGAGAGAATCGTCACTGGCGTTGGCCGTGAGGTCGCTGCCGGACCAAGCTAAGTGCGGGGCCTGTAGCGTGATGTTATAAAGGGGGGGGGGGGGGCCCTAAATTAACAACAACGACAACAAAAAAACCACGTGAATATGAAAACACGAATTTTTAACTCGTATAGTGAAGTAATCGCGAACCTTAAACACCCAGTCGTTCAGAAAAGTTTAAGGCACATATTACTAATATGATGAGCCAATAATGTCTGTGTGTAACGTGCGTGACGTCACTCCACGGCGCCCAGCCCACCCCCCCCCTCGTCAATAATCATGAACGGGTGACGTCACTCCGCATGAAGAAGGTGGAGCGGAAACGAATATATATTTTTTACGCGAATTATCTTTAATTTCGGCCTTTCTTTATGGAAAGTAAAGCTAATAAAAAAAATCAACGCAGCAACTAATATAACGCGCTAAACAAAGGCTCTGTGTGTGTGTGTCCCGCGCGTGACGTCACTCCACGTGAGGCCCCACCCCCCACCCCCTCATTATTCGTCACGTGTGCCTGGATTTTTTTGGACGAGCCGCTATGCTAATTTTTGTTACGCAAATTCGCTTTCGATTTTTTTTGTATCTTTACAGAAAGTTGAAGGCGATAATTCTACGTCGCATGGCCGCGGTGCGTTGGGCGCCTTTATCCGTTGCTTCGGCACGTCCAGCAAAAGGCAAGTCACCTTTACGCTTCCAAATGTCGCCACGATGCACAATTCCCATGCTGATTTGCAGAGAATGTATCGAACTCAAATTGTTCTCGAACTCAAATCGTTCTCGACCCCAGCGAGCGACAGCGGAAGATCAGCGAGCCATCGGAGCAGTGAATTGCAAGTTATTGGACGTCCGTTGACTTTCAATAGCATTACGTCCCGTGATTAATGGCAAAGTTGCGCGCAACATTCACTGCCATTAATACAGTGCTACAGTGAAATGCAGTGAAGTGTTTGATGACATTCTCCGGTTTTTTTTCTCAATATTCCCTGCCATCGCATTTAGGCGATATCAAATTCTACTCGGATCAATATGTTCGTAACTCTGACGCTTCTTGTTCTTGGCTCTTTCGGTAAAGTCACCGCGTAGAAGGGAAGCAATAAAATAATACAAATATAAAACAATAAAATGCTCACGAAGTTTCGACTGCAACATCATCAGGTGTGAAAACCACAGCAGGGAAAAAAAGTATTGCTGTGGTTTTCGCACCTGATGACGATTGCCAGTGTTGCAGTCGAAACAGTCGTGATAATTTTATTGTTTTAGATATTTTTATTATTTTATTGTTTCCCTTCTACGTGGTGACTTTACCGAAAGAACCAGGAATATGAATCCCTGCAGTCACGAAAGCTTTAAATTAAAATTTTAAATCTGACGCTTCTCTTTGGTCTTGGTTATTTGCTGAGTTACTTCAGACAAATATTGATTTAAAGCTTTCGTGACTGCAGTAATTAATATTCTTAGTTCTTTCGGTAAAGTCACGTTGAAGGGAAACAATAAAATAATAAAATATATATAAAACAATAAAAATTATCACGACGTTTCGACCGTAACACAAACGGTCGTCTTTATTTTACTTCAGACAGTTATCAGCACTCCACTGTGCTTCACTCTTCGCTGTCAAGCGTCCATCGGTGAAGATAAATGTGTCGAATTTCGATTTAAAGCTTTCGTGACTGCAGGGATTTGTATTCTTGGCTCTTTCGGTAAAGTCACCACGTAGAAGGGAAACAATAAAATGCAAAATTTATAAAACAATAAAATTCTGATGATGATTGCTTGCATTGCAGTCGAAACGTCGTTGAGAATTTTATTTTTATATATTTTTATTATTTTATTGTTTCCCTTCTACGTGGTGACTTTACCGAAAGAGCCAAGACTATAAATGCGTCCGTTAACAGCTTCAGGTGATTTGAAAACAGTGCTAAGGTGAAGTTACGGGGGGCGGGGGGGGAGGTTTCTAAAATTATACAGCAACAGAGGTTGCTCGCCTTTGCAATCCCGAGACGAAATCGTCTTCAATCCCGAGAATGGACCGAAACGACGACAAATCCACGATCATTCCTGCGAATGCGATGACCATCAACAAGTCGCAGGGTCAGACTTTTCAAAATGTGGGCATTTATCTCAATGGACACGTATTTTCCCCATGGCCAGTCAAGCATAGCCAACTGCAGGGGAAAACTTTTGAACGGTGATAAGAGATTCTAGATTTAAAGCTTTCGTGACTGCTAGGATCCATATACTCTTTGGTTCTATTGGGTAAAGTCACGTAGGTGAAAATAAAATAACAAAAAATCACGACGTTTTAATTTTCACCTACATGACTTTACCCAATAGAACCAAAGAGATTCACACAAAATATCGTATACCGATAAATCTCTCAAAGTCCTTCATTTCAATTAATAAGTTAAGAAAAACAAATTTTGTGCTTCATTTCCTTAAAAAAAATGTAACAATCGCACAATAAAACGTTCATTTACATCTTTAACATTACTGCTTCCGTCCTAACACGTGCTAACAAGCTCGGAGTACTATGGTAATAGAGCAAGTGCAGAATCGCTGAACCGGAATTGATAGCTTGAAAGCGTTTAGCGCGGGGGACCTTGGTAGTGCGGGGGGCCCTTGGGAGTGCGGGGGGCCCTTGGGAGTGCGGGGGGCCCTTGGGAGTGCGGGGGGCCCTTGGGAGTGCGGGGGGCCCTTGGGAGTGGGGGGGCCTTTGGGAGTGTGGGGGGCCCTTGGGAGTGCGGGGGCCCCTTGGGAGTGCGGGGGGCCCTTGGGAGTGTGGGGGGCCCTTGGGAGTGCGGGGGGCCCTTGGGAGTGGGGGGGCCCTTGGGAGTGGGGGGCCCTTGGGAGTGCGGGGAGCCCTTGGGAGTGGGGGGCCCTTGGGAGTGCGGGGGGCCCTTGGGAGTGCGGGGGGCTCTTGGAAGTGGGGGGCCCGTAGCGTTTTATATTTTTTGCTACGAGGATCATCCGAGACTGCCGCGAGGTGGGAATCGAATCCCGGGTTCGCGCGGTGATTCGTTTCGCAGGCGCGGCGCTAACCGCTGCACCACCGCTCCCCCACGCTCGCACAGCACTGGAGGTGACATCGCCACTCTCCTGCGGGGGGGAAACTAAAAGCAACAAAAAACGAGGCAGCAGCAGCAACAGCAGCAGCAGCAACCCTCTTGATAAGAGTCGTGGGGATCCTCCGACATTTCTTGGGGGGTTAAAACAACAACCTCCCACACGTAAGTACATCAATAAGCGGCGTACATCTCAGTTTAACACGGAGGCTTTCGCGACTAATGTATATACATCTGTCTGTACGTGTGACGGAGTGCAACTCCCCAAGGTTTGCTAATCGTTGCCTCTAATAATTAACCCTAGAGCACATCAAGACAACAACAACAACAGGACCACACCAAGACAACAACAACCACAGACCACACCAAGACAACACCAACAGCAACAGTGATTGACCACACCAAGACAACAACAACAAGGCCACACCAAGACAACAACAGTCCCAGACCACACCACGACAACAACAACAACAACAGTCCCAGACCACACCAAGACAACAACAACAGTCCCTGATCACACCAAGACAACAACAACAACGGGGCCACACCAAGGCAACAACAACAACAACGGGGCCACACCAACACAATAACAACAACAGGACCACACCAAGACAACAACAACAACGGGGCCACACCAACACAATAACAACAACAGGACCACACCAAGACAACAACAACAACGGGGCCACACCAAGGCAACAACCACAAAGTCCATCGCAGTGTTGGTCCTGGCAAGTCGTTCTGCTGTCCCTGGTGCGAGCAAAGCCACCGTAGAGCTGCCCCCTTCACCTCTTCGCATTCCCTTCGACTCTCGTGCGAGTGGAGAGTCGAGGGGATATCGATTTGACTCGGTCCACATCCGTGATCGTTTGGAGTCGGCCAAGAGAGCCGTGTGTGCGTCTGTGTGTGTGCATCTGTGTGTGTGTGTCTGTGTGCCTGTGTGCGCGTGTCTGTGTGTGCGTGTGTCTGTGTGCGTGCCTCTATGCGTGTGTGTCTGTGTACCTGTGTGTGTGTCTGTGTGTGCATGTGTGTGTGCATCTGTGTGTGCGTGTGTGTGTGTGCCTGCCTGTGTGCATCTGTGTGTGTGTGCCTGTGTGAGTGTGTGTGTGTCTGTGTGCGTGCCTCCGTGTGTGTGCCTCTGTGTGCGTGTGTCTGTGTACCTGTGTGTGTGTGTCTGTGTGTGCGTGTGTCTGTGTGCGTGTGTGTCTGTGTACCTGTGTGTGTGTCTGTGTACCTGTGTGTGTGTCTGTGTGTGCGCATGTGTGTGTGTCTGTGTGCATGTGTGTGTGTGCATGTGTGTGTGTGCATGTGTGTGTACGTGTGCGTGTGGGGAGCGGTGGTGTAGCAGTTAGCGCCACGCTGCGCTACAAACCTGGCGACTCGGGTTCGATTCCTGCTCACGGCCAGCACCGGTGACGATAATTTGAACCGGTGCTGGGCCTCCCCTAGGTCGATTCAGCCTAAAACGAGTACCTGTTGCGGTCTGTAAACTACACGGGGGACCTTTGTTTATGTTTCGTCAGCTGCTTGAACATCTTAGACGCCTGACAATTGTGAGCCACAGACGGTGACTACGCTGATTGCGTGACTAGCGCGGTGAAGTATGGTTACTTGTCGTGTAACTAGCGCGGTGAAGTATGGTTACTTGTCGTGTAACTAGCGCGGTGAAGTATGGTTACGGGCGGTGTAACGGCGGTGTAAAATAACACAAGCGCAACTAATTCAAAACGCGGTTTAACTTCCAAAAAAACTGTTTTAATGAAAACGCTTCCGTTCACTCTATTGCTTATTTGGCGAAAGGGAGTCACGCAAACATCGGAAAGAGGTCGCCGCTGCTGCTGCTGCTGCATCTCGCGAAGAGACGGAACGCAGTCGCCCGAACGGCGTTCGGTATTCTCGAGATGGTGAGCACGAGGACGAGGGGGCAAGAGGAGGAGGAGGAGGAGGCCACGATGCGCGTCACAATACAGGGACTCCTCTTCTCACGAACACCTTAGACAAAACGAACTTTGAGAGATACGAACAAACCCGGCCCGTGTACCCAGTTGCCTGTCGGGAACCGAGAGTCGTAAGTTCAACTGCCGCGGAATAGGTGGTGGTGTTGGTGGTGGTGGCATCTGGGGAAGATGAATCAGTGGCATCTACATCTGCAGAGCGTGAAGAACCAGTGGCATCTACATCTGCAGAACGTGAAGAAACCAGTGGCATCTACATTTGCAGAACGTGAAGAACCAGTGGCATCTACATCTGCAGAACGTGAAGAACCAGCGGCATCTACATCTGCAAAACATCAAGAACCAGTGGCATCTACATCTGCAGAACGTGAAGAACCAGTGGCATCTACAAGCAGAACATGAAGAACCAGTAGCATCTACATCTGCAGAACATCAAGAACCAGTGGCATCTACATCTGCAGAACGTGAAGAACCAGCGGCATCTACATCTGCAAAACATCAAGAACCAGTGGCATCTACATCTGCAGAACGTGAAGAACCAGTGGCATCTACAAGCAGAACATGAAGAACCAGTAGCATCTACATCTGCAGAACATCAAGAACCAGTGGCATCTACATCTGCAGAAGATGAAGAACCAATGGCATCTACATCTACAGAACATGAAAAACCAGTGGCATCTACAAGCAGAACATGAAGAACCAGTGGCATCTACATCTGCAGAATATCAAGAACCAGTGGCATCTACATCTGCAGGAGATTATGCAACTTTTAAAGCCACTCGGACGTGTTTAGTGTACACGCCGTACAACACGTTTGGAATCGACAGGGGTGAAGTTGGACTTACGCACAAATCGACTTACGAACAGAACCTCTGGTACCTAACTCGTTCGTAAGTCGAGGAGTCCCTTGTATTGGGGCTCCCCAACTGACCCCCTGAGCTGATCAATGCACAGGGGGTGCGTGGAGGGGGTGGGAGGAATGGGGGGGGGGGGGGGTGGGAGGGGGGATGGGGGGGCGTTGGTAGGGAATGGGAGGGATGGGGGGGTGCAATCCCTGACGCTCCTCCCTCGACAGGACCGGCGTGGTGACGGTGAGGGTCACGGTGAGGGTCACGGTCACGGTGAGGGTCACGGTGAGGGTCGCGGTGAGGGTCGTGGCCACGCTGAGCTGAGCTGCACCGCCGCCAGCGCCCGGAGCCGGCGGGGGGGCACCGGCAGTCGGTGCCATGGAGATTTACTGGTACATGTGAGTACTGGTACACGTGTGTGAGTACTGGTACACGTGTGTGAGTACTGGTACATGTGAGTACTGGTACACGTGTGTGAGTACTGGTACATGTGAGTACTGGTACACGTGTGTGAGTACTGGTACATGTGAGTACTGGTACACGTGTGTGAGTACTGGTACATGTGAGTACTGGTACACGTGTGTGAGTACTGGTACACGTGTGTGAGTACTGGTACACGTGTGTGAGTACTGGTACACGTGTGTGCTGGTACACGTGTGTGAGTACTGGTACACGTGTGTGTGTACTGGTACACGTGTGTGAGTACTGGTACACGTGTGTGAGTACTAGTACACGTGTGTGCTGGTACACGTGTGTGAGTACTGGTACACGTGTGTGAGTACTGGTACACGTGTGTGAGTACTGGTACATGTGAGTACTGGTACACGTGTGTGAGTACTGGTACACGTGTGTGAGTACTGGTACACGTGTGTGAGTACTGGTACACGTGTGTGAGTGTGTGCTGGTACACGTGTGTGAGTACTGGTACACGTGTGTGAGTACTGGTACACGTGTGTGTGTACTGGTACACGTCTGTGAGTGTGTACTGGTACACGTGTGTGTGTACTGGTACACGTGTGTGAGTACTGGTACACGTGTGTGTGTGAGTACTGGTACACGTGTGTGAGTACTAGTACACGTGTGTGAGTACTGGTACACGTGTGTGAGTACTGACACACGTGTGTGTGTACTGGTACACGTGTGTGAGTACTTGTACACGTGTGTGAGTGTGTGAGTGTGTGCTGGTACACGTGTGTGAGTGAGTACTGGTACACGAGTGTGTGCTGGTACACGTGTGTGAGTGTGTGCTGGTACACGTGTGTGAGTGTGTGCTGGTACACGTGTGTGAGTACTGGTACACGTGTGTGAGTACTGGTACACGTGTGTGTGTGAGTACTAGTACACGTGTGTGAGTGTGTGCTGGTACACGTGTGTGAGTGTGTGCTGGTACACGTGTGTGAGTGTGTGCTGGTACACGTGTGTGAGTGTGTGCTGGTACACGTGTGTGAGTGTGTGCTGGTACACGTGTGTGAGTGTGTGCTGGTACACGTGTGTGAGTGCTGGTACATGTGTGTGAGTACTGGCACACGTGTGTGAGTGTGTGCTGGTACACGTGTGTGAGTGTGTGCTGGTACACGTGTGTGAGTGCTGGTACATGTGTGTGAGTACTGGTACACGTGTGTGAGTGTGTGCTGGTACACGTGTGTGAGTGTGTGCTGGTACACGTGTGTGAGTGCTGGTACATGTGTGTGAGTACTAGTACACGTGTGTGAGTGTGTGCTGGTACACGTGTGTGAGTGTGTGCTGGTACACGTGTGTGAGTGTGTGCTGGTACACGTGTGTGAGTGTGTGCTGGTACACGTGTGTGAGTGTGTGCTGGTACACGTGTGTGAGTGTGTGCTGGTACACGTGTGTGAGTGAGTACTGGCACACGTGTGTGAGTGTGTGCTGGTACACGTGTGTGAGTGTGTGCTGGTACATGTGTGTGAGTACTGGTACACGTGTGTGAGTGTGTGCTGGTACACGTGTGTGAGTGTGTGCTGGTACACGTGTGTGAGTGTGTGCTGGCACACGTGTGTGAGTGTGTGCTGGTACACGTGTGTGAGTGTGTGCTGGTACACGTGTGTGAGTGTGTGCTGGTACATGTGAGTACTGGCACACGTGTGTGAGTGAGTACTGGCACACGTGTGTGAGTGTGTGCTGGCACACGTGTGTGTGCTGGTACACGTGTGTGAGTACTGGTACACGTGTGTGAGTACTGGTACACGTGTGTGTGTACTGGTACACGTCTGTGAGTGTGTACTGGTACACGTGTGTGTGTACTGGTACACGTGTGTGAGTACTGGTACACGTGTGTGTGTGAGTACTGGTACACGTGTGTGAGTACTAGTACACGTGTGTGAGTACTGGTACACGTGTGTGAGTACTGACACACGTGTGTGTGTACTGGTACACGTGTGTGAGTACTTGTACACGTGTGTGAGTGTGTGCTGGTACACGTGTGTGAGTACTAGTACACGTGTGTGAGTGTGTGCTGGTACACGTGTGTGAGTGAGTACTGGTACACGAGTGTGTGCTGGTACACGTGTGTGAGTGTGTGCTGGTACACGTGTGTGAGTGTGTGCTGGTACACGTGTGTGAGTACTGGTACACGTGTGTGAGTACTGGTACACGTGTGTGTGTGAGTACTAGTACACGTGTGTGAGTGTGTGCTGGTACACGTGTGTGAGTGTGTGCTGGTACACGTGTGTGAGTGTGTGCTGGTACACGTGTGTGAGTGTGTGCTGGTACACGTGTGTGAGTGTGTGCTGGTACACGTGTGTGAGTGCTGGTACACGTGTGTGAGTACTGGCACACGTGTGTGAGTGTGTGCTGGTACACGTGTGTGAGTGTGTGCTGGTACACGTGTGTGAGTGCTGGTACATGTGTGTGAGTACTGGTACACGTGTGTGAGTGTGTGCTGGTACACGTGTGTGAGTGTGTGCTGGTACACGTGTGTGAGTGCTGGTACATGTGTGTGAGTACTGGTACACGTGTGTGAGTGTGTGCTGGTACACGTGTGTGAGTGTGTGCTGGTACACGTGTGTGAGTGTGTGCTGGTACACGTGTGTGAGTGTGTGCTGGTACACGTGTGTGAGTGTGTGCTGGTACACGTGTGTGAGTGTGTGCTGGTACACGTGTGTGAGTGAGTACTGGCACACGTGTGTGAGTGTGTGCTGGTACACGTGTGTGAGTGTGTGCTGGTACATGTGTGTGAGTACTGGTACACGTGTGTGAGTGTGTGCTGGTACACGTGTGTGAGTGTGTGCTGGTACACGTGTGTGAGTGTGTGCTGGTACACGTGTGTGAGTGTGTGCTGGCACACGTGTGTGAGTGTGTGCTGGTACACGTGTGTGAGTGTGTGCTGGTACATGTGAGTACTGGCACACGTGTGTGAGTGAGTACTGGCACACGTGTGTGAGTGTGTGCTGGCACACGTGTGTGAGTGTGTGCTGGTACACGTGTGTGAGTACTGGTACACGTGTGTGAGTGTGTGCTGGTACATGTGAGTACTGGCACACGTGTGTGAGTGTGTGCTGGTACACGTGTGTGAGTGCTGGTACACGTGTGTGAGTGTGTGCTGGTACACGTGTGTGAGTGAGTGCTGGTACACGTGTGTGAGTGTGTGCTGGTACACGTGTGTGAGTGCTGGTACACGTGTGTGAGTGTGTGCTGGTACACGTGTGTGAGTGCTGGTACACGTGTGTGAGTGCTGGTACACGTGTGTGAGTGTGTGCTGGTACATGTGAGTACTGGCACACGTGTGTGAGTGAGTACTGGCACACATGTGTGAGTGCTGGTACACGTGTGTGAGTGTGTGCTGGTACACGTGTGTGCTGGCACACGTGTGTGAGTGAGTACTGGCACACGTGTGTGAGTGCTGGTACACGTGTGTGAGTGTGTGCTGGTACATGTGAGTACTGGCACACGTGTGTGAGTGCTGGTACACGTGTGTGAGTGTGTACTGGTACACGTGTGTACTGGTACACGTGTGAGTGAGTGTGTGTGTGAGTGCTGGCACGGTTGTGCGAGTCTGTGGTGTGCTCCAGGGGTTAGCCATCGAGATGTGGACAATCGAGCCAGGGTCATCAGAGATAGGGGCCACACGCAGACACGACAACAACAACAACCGCCATTCGCCGCTTAGTGGCGGTGACGTCACCACGGCGCTCGCGCCAGGCTAGGTGCACCATGTTGAGGCTAACACGTGAAGTGTCGAACGCCCGCTTGCAAGAGGTCACGGGGTAGACCCAGCAGGTGCCACGGGTCGACTGACTGAGATGACTGGCCGATGCACCACCACCTGTGTCCCCCTACTGTGCCAACGCACGCACACACGCACGCACACTCACACACGCACACTCACACACGCACACACGCACACTCATACGCACGCACACTCACACACGCACACTCACACACGCACACACACGCACGCGCACTCACACGCGCACGCACGCATGCACACTCACACACGCACACACACTCACGCACGCACACTCACACACACACTCTTGCGTGCTTTCATCAAGGACAGCGGAGGGTGAACCGCTGTTGCGGCCCGCTCCTCCTTCGCGGCGTCGTCCGTCGGTTGAAGTCGGCGATGACGGGGGGTGGAGGGCGCGAACGGCGCTGACCCCCCCCCCTGACCCCTGACCCCTGACCCCGCACGATGTTTGACCCCCGACCCCCGCCCCCCCCCAGCATCGTCATCGCGTTCATCGTGGTCAAGGTGCTGTTCTACGTGTGCTGGTACCGCTCGCGCCAGCGTCAGCTGCACGCCTTCCTGCACGACCCTGACCACGCGCGGATCCTCATCATCGGCGGTCGCCCCTACGCGCACCCAGCCAACCAGCGGCACACGGTGAGGCTCGCTCAAACACTCGCTCGCTCAGACACTCGCTCGCTCAAACACTCGCTCGCTCAAACACTCACTCGCTCAAACACTCGCTCGCTCAAACACTCGCTCGCTCAAACACTCGCACGCTCAAACACTCACTCGCTCAAACACTCGCTCGCTCAAATACTCGCTTGCTCGCTCACTCTCGCTCAAACGCTCTCTCAAACACTCGTTTGCTCGCTCACTCTCGCTCAAACGCTCGCTCAAACACTCGCTCGCTCAAATACTCGCTCGCTCAAACACTCGCACGCTCGCTCACTCTCGCTCAAACGCTCGCTCAAACACTCGCTCAAACACTCGCTCGCTCAAACACTCGCTCACTCTCGCTTAAACGCTCGCTCAAACACTCGCACGCTCGGTCACGCTCGCTCAAACACTCGCTCGCTCAAACACTCGCTCACTCAGACACTCGCTCGCTCAGACACTCGCTCAAACACTCGCTCGCTCAAACACTCGCTCGCTCAAACACTCGCTCGCTCAAACACTCGCTCACTCTCGCTTAAACGCTCGCTCAAACACTCGCACGCTCGGTCACGCTCGCTCAAACACTCGCTCGCTCAAACACTCGCTCGCTCAAACACTCGCTCGCTCAGACACTCGCTCACTCAGACACTCGCTCGCTCAGACACTCGCTCAAACACTCGCTCGCTCAAACACTCGCTCGCTCAAACACTCGCTCGCTCAAACACTCGCTCACTCTCGCTAAAACGCTCGCTCAAACACTCGCACGCTCGGTCACGCTCGCTCAAACACTCGCTCGCTCAAACACTCGCTCGCTCAAACACTCGCTCGCTCAGACACTCGCTCGCTCAGACACTCGCTCGCTCAGACACTCGCTCAAACACTCGCTCGCTCAAACACTCGCTCGCTCAAACACTCGCTCGCTCAAACACTCGCTCGCTCAAACACTCGCTCGCTCAGACACTCGCTCGCTCAAACACTCGCTCAAACACTCGCTCGCTCGCACGTTCGCTCACTCACGCTCGCTCACTCTCGCTCACTCACGGTGGCTAGGAGATGTTAACTACCTCGCCTGGTCTACTGGAGGACATGGTTTCCATCCTGACCCTGACGCCTGCTATATATTTGGAGTTTGCGTGTTCTCCTTGTGTTCGTGTGGATTTTATCAACATGTGTCTAGACTAGTTAGCTGCTATACATGTACGCGTGATAAGCCACACGTGGCCCGCTAGAGTCACGTGTGTGGTACAACTTCCCCTGTCTCTCTCTCTGTGTGCCTGCTAGTCACGTGTATGGTACAACTCCCCCTGTCTCTCTCTGTGTGCTAGAGTCACGTGTGTGGTACAACTCCCCCCTGTCTCTCTCTGTGTGCTAGAGTCACGTGTGTGCTACAACTCCCCCTGTCTCTCTGTGTGCACGCTAGAGTCACGTGTGGGGTACAACTCCCCCTGTCTCTCTCTCTCTGTGCCTTCTAGAGTCACGTGTGTGGTACAACTCCCCCTGTCTCTCTCTCTGTGTGCCCGCTAGAGTCACGTGTGTGGTACAACTCCCCCTGTCTCTCTCTCTCTCTGTGTGTCACGTGTGTGGTACAACTCCCCCTCTCTCTCTCTGTGCCCGCTAGAGCCGTGTGTGGTACAATTGGTACTCGGCGAGGGAGGACGGCTCCCCGGGCTCTCCCTCGCGCTCGCTCACCCCGGCGCCCTCCTACAGTCAGCTGGAGCCGCCGCCGCCACCCTACGATGCCATCGTCCGCCCGCACGGTCGGTCCCTCCTGCCACTGGCGCCGGCACCGAAACGGAATCCGAATCCGGGTCTCCCTCCGGGACGTCCTATACGGCAAACGATGGTGGCTGCTATGATGGCATCACGGTGGCTAGGAGATGTTAACTACCTGGCCTGGTGTGCAAGAGGTCGTGGGTTCGATCCTGACCCTGACACCTGCTGTATATTTGGAGTTTGTGTGTCTCTCATCATCATCATCATCACGGTGGCTAGGAGATGTTAACTACCTCGCCTGGTGTGCAGGAGGTCGTGGGTTCGATCCCGACACGGTTTTTCTCTCCGCGTTGAGAATCGACACCACGCGTTTTAGAGCAATTCGGGTGCTGCTGTTCATTTCTCCGCGATGGGTAAGCCTCCTCGTTGAGCTATGAATTGTGATAGGCAGGCTGCTTCTGAAAAAAACGAGCCACACGGCTGGACAAACAAATCCACACTGCTTGATTCCTTCGGTAAAGTCACGTGGGCAGAAAAATAAAATACAACTAAGTCACGACGTTTTCGAGCGCCACACAAGCGTCCATCATCAGGCGGGAGAGCACGTGATGATGGACGCTTGTGCTGCGCCCGAAACGTCGTGACTTATTTTCATTTTATTTTTCTGCCCACGCGATGACTTTGCCGAAAGAAGCGCGGAGTGTGGATGTCCCTGCCGTCGCGAAAACTTCGAATCAAAATAAAATCTAGTTTAGGTTGATGCTGCCGATGATGATGACGACGATGATGATGATAATAATAATACTAAGTGGTACAGCACCTCCCCGACGCTCCGCCAGAAGGGAGTTTCACAAAGTCTGTGCACGCGGTGAGCCACCAACCCCTCGCCGCCGCTTAGCCCAGCAGCGCGCTGAACCGCTACGGGCAGCCCCGCGTCAGCAGCAGCCGCAGCAGCCGCAGCCACCGCCCGGTCGATGATGACGCTCGGCGGAGGTGACGACGCCGAGCGTCAATTAACACGTCGAGCTGGAAGCGTCCGGAGTATCGGCGCTAACCGGGGCCCACCGGCGATGCCCCCCCCCCCACTCCCCCCAGCCGCTCCGTAGCCGAGCGCCGCGCGGCACCGGAGTGGACCAGGGGTAGCCGCGACTTTCGCTCGGCAAAGTCCGGCGGAGCGCTGCGACGGTGCGGTGGTGTGCGTGGAATTGTATTGGCGCCGGGGGAAGCCGATTGAGCCGTGTTAGCTCTTGGCCAGAAGCCACACGGAAGAGGCGCTGCTGATGATGATGATGATGTTGACGACGATGCTGGTGGCGCTGCTGCTGATGATGATGTTCATGACGATGCCAGCGGCGCTGCTGATGATGATGATGTTGACGACGATGCCAGCGGCGCTGCTGATGATGATGATGTTGACGACGATGCCAGCGGCGCTGCTGATGATGATGATGTTGACGTCGATGCCGGCGGCGCTGCTGATGATGATGATGTTGACGATGGCGGCAGCGGTGGCGCTGCTGATGATGATGTTGACGACGATGCCGGCGGCGCTGCTGCTGATTATGATGATGATGTTCACGACGATGCCGGCGGCGGCGCTGCTGCTGCTGATGATGTTGACGACGATGCCGGCGGCGCTGCTGCTGATGATGATGTTGACGACGATGCCGGCGGCGCTGCTGATGATGATGATGTTGACGACGATGCAGGCGGCGCTGCTGATGATGATGTTGACGACGATGCCGGCGACGGCGATTTTTTCTCTTTTTCTTTTTTTCTTTTCCTCCCAAGCCCCAGCGGTCTGTTAAAGTCTGCACGTGGTGGTGGTGGTGGGTGGTGGGTGGTGGTGGTGGGGGGGGGGGCCCCTTTGTGTTTTGCGTTCTGCAGGGAGCGGCGAGCTGAAGCCGCCCCCGTACAGCGAGTGCGTCGCGGCGCTGCTGCCCGCCGCTCGGATTGCCGGAGAGCCGGCGGCCTCGCCACCGGCTCACGCCGCCGACAGCGACGACGACGACGACGACGACGACTACACGGACGCTCCTCCTCCTCCATACTCGGCACACGCCGACAGCAGCGCCAGCGCCGCCGGCACCGCCACCGACGCCGCCTCCACCACCGATCCCATCGCCGCCGCCACCGCCACCGCCGTCGCCGCCACGAACGGCGGTAACGCCGCCCCCGTCTCAACCGACTCCACCGCCAACACCACCGCCGTCAACACCACCCCCACTACTGAACCCGTCGACGGCACAACCGCCGCCGCCGGATCTATCGCCACGGACGGCGATAACGCCGCCCTTGTCACCGCCACCGCCGTCAACACCACCCCCAAACACAACTGCACCACCGACTCCACCCTCGCCTCTTCCACTCCCACCACGCCCACCGCCGCTGCCTCCAACCTCAACTCGGCGACTGCTGATGGCGGAGGAAGGCGGCCATCTCGCGACGACGAGGACGACGAGGACCGCCGCCACCTCCGCGAGGAGGACCCAGCGGCGGTGGTGGTGGTGGTGCGACACACGACCAGACCCCTCCTCCTCCCGCTGCGTGCCGGGGAGCAGCCGCTGTGAGGAGCAATCGGGAGCCCCCAGGGAGCACACCAGGGAACCCTCAGGGACCCACTTGGGCCCCCCTTAAGGAGCCCCCCGAGAGACCCCCTTGGGCCCCCCTTAAGGAGCCCCCCTTGGGGTCTCCCTAGGGACCCCAGGGACTCCTAGGGACCCCACCAGGGACCCCCCCCCCCCAGGGACCCCCTTGGGACTCCCCTAGGGACCCCCCTAGGTGACCCCCATAGGAACCCCCATCCCACCCAGGGTTTACTTTGGACAGAGCAGTGGTGGTGGTGGTGGCGGCGGCGGTGGTGACGGCGGCGGTGGTGGCGGTGATGGCGGTGGTGGTGGTGGTGGTGGCGGTGGTGGCGGTGGTGATGGAGATGGTGTTGGTGGTGGTGGTGGAGATGGTGTTGGTGGTGGTGGAGATGGTGTTGGTGTTGGTGGTGGAGATGGTGGTGGTGGTGGTGGAGATGGTGGTGGTGGTGGTGGAGATGGTGTTGGTGTTGGTGGTGGAGATGGTGGTGGTGGTGGTGGAGATGGTGTTGGTGGTGGTGGTGGTGGTGGAGATGGTGTTGGTGTTGGTGGTGGAGATGGTGGTGGTGGTGGTGGAGATGGTGTTGGTGGTGGTGGTGGTGGAGATGGTGTTGGTGGTGGTGGTGGCGGCGGTGGTGGTGGCGGCCATTACCAACCCCGCGCTTTGAGCACGCTCATGCGTGGCTGGTGAGCGATGTGCGGAGAGCCGTGAGGACGGAACTCTCGCGGACTCGTGGGGAGGGTGGGGGGCCGGTTGGGGGGGGGGGGCGTAGAGCAAGAAGGTTGGGGGGGGGCGCTTCAATCCGCTCAACTCGCCAAAAAAAACCTGCAACAACAAAAAACCCGCAACGGGTCAAGCCAGCGGGGTTGCCGCTTTATCCCGAGCAGGACTCTCCTGGAGAGACGGAGAGAAACCCGCCGGCCACGTGCAGACTCCGCAAAGGCTTCCGTCGTTAGGCACGGCGGGCAGGGCCGCAGTTGTCTCCCTCGACGACTTCGCCGCTGACGTCACCGCCACCGCCACCGCCACCGCCCACTTGCGGAGGGGCGGCCGCCCCTCATTCCCAGTGGTGGACGATGTGGGTGAGGGTGAGGGATGTGGGTGAGGGTGAGGGACGTGGGTGAGGGTGAGGGCCGTGGGTGAGGGTGAGGGCCGTGGGTGAGGGTGAGGGCCGTGGGTGAGGGTGAGGAGGGTGAGGGCCGTGTGAATGCGGCCGCGTCATCATAGACAAGTTGCCGACGCAGCTGCGACAAAGCCGCTTGCCGGGCCGAGCCACGTTCCCCGTTGCGAAGACCAAACCACGAACTCGTCCAACTCTTTATTTTCATTTTTATTTCGCCGGCTAAGGCGCGAACCGAGCCGTGAAGCGCTTCTTCTATTTGCGGAAGCGACCCGCCTGTCGGCAAGGACACCTCAACGAATGTGGCTTTTCACCAAATTCGTGGCAGCAGCCCAAGCACTCTGAACGCAGGGGTCGGAAGCCTCTCCTCGTCGGGCCTGGCAATGCCACGTCGAATAATCTCTGGAGTTGTCACAATCTATGCAGCCCCCCCCCCCCCCACCCCTCTCCCTCCCTTCTTAAAGAGGGGGACCGCCAGGGCATCCTCACAATCCTTGCGGAACTCATCCTGTGGTCCAGACTGTTGTTATGATGCCGTGAAGGGCAGCACACACACACACACAGGTCGCAGCTCGCTCTGTGGAGATCATCTCTGCCCGGCGCTTTTCCACGAGCGAAGGTTGAATGAGGACTTCTACAGGAAGCCTCGGTTGCTGGACAAGAGAGAGCGTGGAGGGAAGCGGAGTGAGATGAGGGGAGAGACAGGAGAGTTCGTGGAGGGAAGTGGAGGGAGATGAGAGGGGAGAGGTAGGAGAGAGCGTGGAGGGGAGTGGAGTGAGATGGGAAGGGAGAGGTAGGAGAGTGCGTGGAGGGGAGTGGAGTGAGATGAGAGGGGAGAGGCAGGAGAGAGCGTGGAGGGGAGTGGAGTGAGATGAGAGGGGAGAGGTAGGAGAGTGCATGGAGTGCGTGGCGTGGAGTGAGATGAGAGGGGAGAAGTAGGAGAGAGCGTGGAGGGGATGGGAGTGAGATGAGATGGGAGAGGCAGGAGAGAGCGTGGAGGGTGAATGTAGGGGCAAGTGCTGTTAGCGAGCAGCACCTATGAAAGCCGTCACGGCACACGAGGGGGTCAGTGGCCAGCATCACGCCCGGCCGCCTTTGTCTCCCTAGTGGCGATATTTACACGTCCCACCAGGCACTCATTCGAGGCTGAGTCGGCCTAGGGGAGGCCCAGGACCGGTTCAATAATCGTCACCGGTATTGGCCGTGAGCGGGAAAATCGAACTCGGGTCACCGGGTTTGTAGCGGAGCACCGATAACAGCTCCACTACCGCTCCCCACACGCGCACACTCGCACAAACACATGCACTTTCACAATCATTCCATAAACACAAGCCTGCCTGTGCCTTTTGTATGTGTGTATATATAGAGAGACGTATATACACAGTAGACACACGCATACCGCATACTGTACTGCTGTGAAAAAAGGGCCATTGCTCAGAACGTCGGACAATTGTATATTTGTTGATGTTACGTTGCCGTTAAAATTAGAAATGTGATGACTGTTTTCATTTCTCGTGCAACGCACTGCCAACGCGTTCTGCCAAAAGCACGTGTTTGATAAGTACACGCGTACGCTTCATAAAATATTCCCAACCATGTGGTTATCAATGCCCCTTCATAGACTGCCGGGGTAAGGGCCAGCTGGCGAGCAGCTATTTAATGCCATCACGATCCTCGAGGCTGCTGTGCGTGGCCAAAGCACCACAAATTTGTGGGAATTCTGGCTTAGGCGCCTGATGATGGCGGTTGTAATTGCTGGCGAAACGTCGGACTCGGATTGTAAATGTCGATTTGCGCTCCAACACACCGGTGTGCTGGACTAGTATACTAAACTAAACACTACATTATACACTACACTACTATACACTTCACTATACACTGCACTACTATACACTTCACTATACACTACACTACTATACACCTCACTATACACCCACTATACACTTCATTATACACTACACTACTATACACTTCACTACTATACACTTCACTATACACTACACTACTATACACTTCACTATACACCAACTATAAACTTCACTATACACTACACTACTATACGCTACACTACTATACACTTCACTGTACACTACACCACTATACACTACACTACTATACACTACACCACTATACACTACACTATACACTACACCACTATACACTACACTATACACTACACTACTATACACTACACTATACACTACACTACTATACACTACACTATACACTACACACTCTATACACTACACTACTGTACACTTCACTGCTATACACTTCACTATACACTACTGTACATTACACTATACACTACACTACTATACACTCCACTATACACTACACTTCTATAAACTACACTACTATACACTACACTACTATACACTTCACTATACACTACACTACTGTACACGTCACTACTATACACGACACTATACACTACACTATACACTACACTACTATACACTTCACTATACACTACACTACTGTACACGTCACTACTATACACGACACTATACACTACACTATACACTACACTACTATACGCTTCACTATACACTAGTGCTGTACTAGTAACGAATTGGCACGTTCTGTTTACGTGACAAACCTTACCGATTGGCTGTGTCGGGTTGGTGGCGGGTTTAACGACACAACATTCATATATTTACGCCACCCCCCTCCTCCCTCCCCCCCCCAAAAAAAACCAACCCTCATTACCTAAGACATCGGTGGCGAAAGCCTCCATCGTGTTAAACCAAATAGCGGTAGAGAGCCGAGCCGAGCTGCAGGAAACGTTGTAAACAAATGGAGCTGGCCATCAACATTGCATCGAGTGCATTCCAACAGACTCCCACCACAATATGGCAACGAAGTGGCCGGAATTGGCCTGTGGTTGGGACCGCGACGTTGGCTCAACGTTGTGGTTGGGACCACAACGTTTGCAGGGCGTTTGCCCCATGGTCCCACGTGTACTCGAGTAGACGATACAGAACGGGCAGCCGCCGTGCCCCCCTCCCCATGCCAACACAACGTTGGTCCAACGTCAGGCGAACGTTGGCAGCCTCCCTGGACAATGGATGTGTAGGGGAGACAGAATGTGCCCGTTCAGTGTGGTGGAGTCGGCGTGGGTGATGTTGGTGCGTGGTGGGTGGGTGTGTGGGTGTGTGTGTGGGTGGTGGGTGGTGGGTGTGTGGTGGGTGTGTGGTTGCATGGTGGGTGTGTGGGTGGTGGGTGTGTGGGTGGTGGGTGTGTGGTGGGTGTGTGGTTGCATGGTGGGTGTGTGGGTGGTGGGTGTGTGGGTGGGTGTGTGTGTGGTGGGTGGTGTGTGGTGTGTGGGTGTGTGGTTGTGTGTGTGTGTGGTGGGTGTGTGTGTGGTGTGTGGTGTGTGGGTGTGTGGGTGTGTGTGGGTGGTGGGTGTGTGTGTGGGTGGTGTGTGGTGGGTGTGTGGTTGCATGGTGTGTGTGTGGGTGGTGGGTGTGTGGGTGGGTGGGTGTGTGTGTGTGGTGGGTGGTGTGTGGTGGGTGGGTGTGTGGTTGCGTGGTGGGTGTGTGGGTGGTGGGTGTGTAGTGGGTGGGTGTGTGGTGGGTGGGTGTGTGGTGGGTGTGTGGGTGGTGGGTGGCGTGTGGGTGGTGTTTGGGTGGGTGGGGTGTAGGTAGTGTGTGGTGGGTGGGGTGTCGGTAGTGTGTGGGTGGTGTGTGGATGTTAGGTGGGTGGTGTGTGGGTGGGTGGTGGATGGGTGGTGTGTGGGTGGGTGGTGGGTGAGGTGTCGATAGTGTGTGGGTGGTGTGTGGGTGTTGGGTGGGTGGTGTGTGGTGTGTGGGTGTTGGGTGGGTGGTGTGTGGGTGTTGGGTGGGTGGGTGGAGTGTGGGTGGGTGGTGGGTGGAGTGTGGGTGGGTGGTGGCTGGGAATGTGTGTGGGTGGTGGGTGGGTGAGGTATCGGTAGTGTGTGGGTGTTGGGTGGGTGGTGTGTGGAGTGTGGGTGGGTGGTGGGTGGGTGGTGGGTGGGTGGTGGGTGGTGGGTGGGTGGTGGGTGGGTGGTGGCTGGGTGCAATCAACAAGAGTGTTCGCTGTGTGTGGGCGTAGCCATTGGCACCGGCAGTGGCACGCATTCCCCACTTGGCACCGGGTGAAGAGGCAACGTTTGTGTGTGTTGTGTGTGTGTCTTGTGTGTG